CGGTGCCCCTCACTCCCGACCCGCAGCTCCTGCTAGCGCAGCCCTGCCCCCCCCAGCTCTGCCGGTGCCCCTCACTCCCGACCCGCAGCTCCTGCTAGCGCAGCCCTGCCCCCCCCAGCTCTGCCCCTCAATTCCAACCTGAAACCCTCTTCTGTCCCAGTCTTGGGCTCCCCCCACCCACGGTTCTCGCTGGCTAAGTCTCATCGCAGATAAGAACAGCATTTGCTGGGCCTCAGCCCCGGGCCCCTGGGCTTGCGTCCTCGGTTATGAAAGTGAAAAACGTGCTGGCACCCGGCACCTCTGGCATTGCGAATTGAGTCCTGAGGAACAGCGAGGTGCGGTCCCAGGCTGGCTGCTGGCTGGGGGCCACCGGACGAGCTGCATTTAGGGCACGGTTCGGGCTTTGCGACTCATCAACCGCCCTGCCCTGCGTTGGGTTTGGGTTAATCGAGGCTAATTCGCAGGGGAACTCAGCAAGCCAGCAGCTTCCCCATTCCACCCATTTTCCTTTGCCTCGGCCCTCCCCATTCCCCACTCCCTTGCCTTGTTTCTCCACCTCCAGGACCTCCGCTCCCCGAGCTGGGGAGAGAACCCAGGAGTCCTGGCTTCCAGCCCTGCCCCCGCCACGTTCAAACCCTTCCCTTTATTCTTTGCCTTTTCCTAGCTCCCATCCCAATCGCCTCGGATCTTTCTCTGATTTCCTGATGAATCAGAACTGCATGCCTGTAACGCAGTTCCCCATCACTTTGATCTGCCTACACATGTCTTCATTTCCCCATTCCCCCCGCCAGGATCCTGGTGGAGTCTCCATCCCTGGCACTTTCCCACTCGAGGGGCTGTTTATTCTAAAGGCCGTGCTCTCGTTCTAACAGGAATTCATCTAGAGCAACTCTACGGCCTGGCTGCTCCCAGATCCTTCCTGGCTGTGGAATCTACGGCTCTGCCTATGGGGCAGGTCCCAGATGAAAAGAAACTTTGTTAAACCGATAGCCAAAAGGATACCTCAGAGGCAAAGATCCTACAGACGTCTGGTATGAGCCCGTCAAAGCCGGAGGTAAATTCCCAGGCGACTCGGAGCTGAGATTAAATTGCACAACAGCTGGGGTGATGAATGGAAAATGTATTTTAATCAAGCGACATCAGCAGCTTCACCTCCACCCATCAGTGTCACAACGCTGACCACCAAATTATGATTTATGGCAGGTAATAGTATTTACAAGACTCTTGGCATCATTCGTCTTTGTAGTTCCACCTGCATTAAAGCGTCCTCACAGAGCTAGTCATCTTTTGAATTCACTTCCAAGTCTCGCCCTGTTCTGAAAGGGCAAATTTTCAAAGGTAGTTAGCCACTAGACCCCAGTCCGCTCTCAGAACTGGGTATAGAACCCAGGCGTCCTGACCTCCCCAGCCCCCCCTGCTCTAACCACTAGACGCCACTCGCCTCCCAGAGCCAGGGAGAGAACCCAGGAATATTCCTCCCTCCCTCTGCCATCCCAGTTCCTGGCTCCCTTGCCTTGTTTCTCCACCTGCAAGACCGCGCTCCCGTTATGGCTATATAAACCATTTGAGGTTTCATTTGGTTGTGTTGTGTTTAGACAAAATGCGTTGAAAAGACCCTTTCTGAAATGTTTTTGTTGTGTTTCAGTGAGGAGGGAATTCAGTTTAAAAACAGACTTGCTTTGGTCACCAGAAAAAGGTCAGGAAAGTTTAAAAGGAAGAGAAAATGGGAATTTTGGACAGCAGACTTGTGAAAAATGACCATTAGGAAGTTTTCACTAGAAAAAGCCAAGTTGCGATGAAAATTTTTGACTGAAATGAAAAAAAAATCATCAAAAGAAAAAAGAAAGAAAGCAAGCCAGCCCTGGATAGGTAGCTTGATGCTGATTGAAGTGTTACACCAGGGAATTAAATCATTTCAATGAATTTTCTATTAAATTTAAATGGTAAAAAAGACAAGTTTGCATTACAAACTCTGTTTTGTTTCAGTTCAAGTTGTTCCCAATATTGTGTTTTGCATTTCAAATTTTTTTGGTAAAATCTTTTGGGTTTTTTGACAAAAGCCAAAACATGGAAAATTCAGGTCTCTGAAAGTGAAAAATCTTTTGGTATTTTTTGTGCCACAATTGGGAAAAACTTAGACCTAAATTAAAATGTTTTGGGGGCATAAAATAGCCATTTTTCATCTAAAGATATATTCATTGCAAAGATATTGACTAGTGCTATAGTGATAAAATTCATCTGATTTAGTCCCACATGAAAAGAAAACAGATTCAATATGGCCACTGATCCCAAGATGGTTGGCAAATATGGCCACCAAATCCGGGACGGTTGATAAATCTCCTATGGCCTCCCAATCCACTTTCATTTGCATAGCCACGTGGCCACCAAATCCATGCTTGTTGGCTTGACTAATACAGCCACCAAACACAGGTTGGTTGGCATGATCAATATGGCCTCCCACTGCAGACTAGTTGGCAAATCCAATATGGCCACCAAATCCAGGCTGGTTGGCATGGTCAAAGTGGTCACCAAAACCAGGCACGGTCGTCAGATCTTGCTCTAGTCCTAAATCGTGGTCCCATCAGATGTTCTGCAGAAGAGATTCCAGACGCAAACCGGTTCAACCAATATTCCCGGGGAATTTTGCACGTATCCACTGGTTTCTCTAGTCATTGTTTTGAAGGGCACATCATGGTTATAAAAAGGGGAGCACAGACCATCGACAGGACCATGGCGTCTCAGAAAGGCTGCTGCTATTCACACAGACAAAGTCTCCCGAAGTAGTTCAAACTCAACGGATCTGGAGAGGCAACTGAAGGCAAAATCCAACACTTCCCAGGTTTGGGTGAAGGCCAAGACAGCTTAAATCCGTGCGCAGAGTCCCAGCTGCCGGTGACGGGTGGATGGTGCAGAAGCCCAGATTTCATCCCCACCCAAAAAAAAAAAAGTTTCCAGCCTTGGCCTCTCCAGCACCACCCCCATTATCCACCCTGCGTCCCATCCCATCCCCCCAACCCCTGCCCCCTTTCCGTCCACCTTCATACCCTGCCATGTAGTGCTCCACACCCCAATCCACTGGCCCCCCTCAATCCCCCATCCTTTCTGCCACCTCCACTCCTCTCCCCACCTCACCCAGCCCCCTCCCCTCTCCTCCCAGCATCCTCCGTTCCTGGTTTCCCCCTCAGCCTCCTTTCCCCTCCCCTTCCCCTTCCTAGCCCTCCCCCCAGCTGCTCTCCCTCCCAGTCCCCCCTCAGCACTCTCCCTTCCTCAATCTCCCCCTCTCCTCACCCCCTCCTCTCTCCTCTGAGTATCCCCCATTCCTGGGCCCAGCTTTCCCCCCTCTCATCCTCCAGTTCCCTGCCTGCTGCTCTCCATAACCTGCCTTCCCCTCCCAGTACACCCGCTTCCCAGTGCCACCTCCAAACTCCCCTCCCTCCCAGTCCCCCCTGAGCACCCTCCCTCCCCCCATCCCCCTCCTCCCACCTCC